TAAAGTTTATAAACTTTTCGGGAAATGCATAACTTATGCGCCACGAAAGTGGTGGGCGGGTACTTACGAATGCAGTGCAAAATTATATAAATATACGAAGCGTTAGATAGGTCAGTGACTTTTGGAATACCGATTAGATGGAATGATTTCATAAAGAATGCATTAGTTGTTTCTCAATATCATATTCTTTTAGATAAGTTTAATATCGGATTCCGTGGCGATTTTTTCTTAGAATAAATCTCTTTCTCCCTTTCCGTTCCTAACGACCTCAATCGCTCTTGTTCTAGCGAGTGTACCTTTACCTACTTTAAATTCATGCAATGTTGATATGTGAACTAAAGTGTAGATTCCAGTTTTGAGTTAGAGTTCCTCTATAACATCACATAATTAATTTATAAAACGGAGGGTGAAGTAGAAACATCTAGACACTTTCTCCTACACCGTCCAACCTTTAAAAGACTGACACTGAAACAGCTCGGTAATCTTAGAACGGCGAAACAGAAGACATAGACGAAATTGATATTAGCCGTTTCAACAAATTTGTCATACATGTAAGCTCAAAGAGTGTTGTCGATCTCTATGAATCTTATGATCCAGTTTTCAGGAGTTTATAATTCTAAGCTGACCAAGTGAGATTCCCCTTAGGATCGATCTCATAAGCTAATCTAACCTAACTTATAAAGTATTAATTTTTTTTTAATCACCATTGTGACTTCCTTGCGAGATAATACAATAAATTCATCTGACCATTTCTTCTTTGCTTTTTTCAAGACTTAATCTCAATCCGTAGTGCTATTTAACTGATCTTACCTCTCGTTTCTGTGGCTTTCTACCGACCTCTTTCTACCTACTCGCTCCATTGTAAACACACTAAAAACACAAACAAACTCTTCTAGTACTCCTTTGCTTTCTAAAACGGAAATATAACATAGTCTAAGTCCTGTTACTGCCGTAACCTCAAAAATATGCCTTTAGTTCTGGTTTAATTGCTTAATTAAGACCTATTTTATTACCTGAGCTAGATTTAGTATATAGAGATGTAGCAACGTTAAACGAACTGGCTCATCCGGCAATTGGATACAAATGGTTTATAAATTTCTGCAATACTGCAATAGTATGTAGTTATCTAGTTGTGATTCAGGCCTCCAGGATCCCATCACTCGAAATGTAGGATAACACTAGTAATAATCAGATAGCGAAACCCTGTGGAATTAAATAAGCTTTAAGCGTTTCATTTCAAGTCTTCATAACGCACGATAACGGAGTTTGGATTTGGATTTAATTGCAATTTACTAATAAAAGAGGATTAGTGTTCCTTTTTTAAAAACACCCTTGATTTATCAAGCTCGCCTCGTGCACCTTAGTCTATTTGCGAACCTTCGAAATTGGCGAGGTCAAGGCGTATAACCATTTTATTGGTATTTGGTATATGTTACATTTGAAGATTTTCGTATAGCCTGTTGCCTTGGCAGCTAATCTGATTTACAAAACTTAAATTAAATTTGAAATAATTTTTGTTTAACCAAAAAGTCAGAAGTATTCTAATATCAATTAAAGAGATTCTGAAGCAAGTAATTAGTTAAGTTATGGATTATTAAAATTAAAGAGAGGTGTAGTTTAAGAAAAAATAAGCTTAAGTCTGTTTGAGTAACTCGGCTTAAAGGTTTTTTGGTTGAACACAGCATATTCGTGAAGAGTTTTTTGTTATAACATCTGTAAGATATAGCTGTCAAGGTACAGTGGACCAATAAAGTTTACATACACCCTTTATTCTTAACTAAAACATGTTTGCACATACATTTTCTAGTCTCATTCGACTGATTTTTTTGCTAAATAGATAAATAAACATTCGTGCATTGTGATGCATT